AAATTCAAGCAGGCCAAATGAAAGAGAAACTGATGTGTTTGTGTGTGTGTGTGTGTGTGTGTGTGTGTGTGTGTGTGTGTGTGTGTGTGTGTGTGCATGTATGGGGGGGGTGTGCATGTGTGTGTATGATATAGCTTACCCTGGCGTTGGCTTGTGACTGTTCAAAGGTGAGGCCCTGGGTGATGGTGAATAGGATTCCTTTACCTCCTTTAAGTACAGAGGATGATAAAAGTCTGCAGTAACGACCTTGGTATAATGAATGCCTTAATGATTTCCATGATTTTCCTGATCCTATGCCACAGACCTGCAATTTTACAAGAAAAGTGGGGTGTCTGAACAAACAAGAATAAAGAATAAACACAACACTAATTCCTATATGAGTCATCATGTACACTATTATCACCAAAATGACACAGAAAACCACTTTTCTTGACATTTTAGATTGCAATTCATGAGCAATTATCCTAATCATTGTGATGTAAAATGTGATTAAATGCATGCTTGTGTGATGTCCTAACAGCAGCTAATATGGAACTACAAAATGAGCAGAAATCAAAAGCATCTGAAACTCTGGCCGACCTCCAAATACGACTAGACTGCAGTAAATACTACAATAGCAACAATAAACAAGTGGTAATTGGTGTGATCCTCTGTTCCAACAAGATGATGCTTGATTTGCTGTGATTTGCATTAGTGTTGCCCCGTGAGGATATCAAACGCGCCCACTCTGTAGTGACGGGCCTGCTTTATGAAAAGAGAGATGGAGACCAGCGGTGAGTACAGGCCATTCATCTGCATTAGTGACATGAAATCACCTCTCACAAATCACCTCTCATTTGTGGCGTCTGCTGCGTGTCTGATGTAAGGCGCTGGTACTGGTGCGGGGACTGTGCGTGTCTCAGCGTGTGGGAATATAATGATCCAGGCGAAGTGCGCCCTCTACAGGCAACACTAAAGTCACGCTGCGCTGCCTTTCTCCCTGAACATTTTGCATTCCACTGGGAAAAGGACCAACAATGCAAAGAGTTCTTAAAGCTGGGGTATATGTAACAGTCACACCACGAGATGCTATGTAATAGTTCGTTTTTTAGATAGTTCCTGGCTCCAAAACAGTTTGGTTCTGTCACTAGTTTTCACATGTATTTTGTCCTCCTCAGCTTTTTCAGACATAAAAGTTAAAAAGACAGGTTCTCAGCCTAAATGATCAATCAGTAACTTACATGGCTCTTTCTTACAATGTAAAAGCTAGATGAAGACAGAATGTTGTGGTCTGAACATTTTACTTTTATTTGACTCTTGTGTTATTTATGTTTTGTATATGAAACAAAAAAGTAAGGTACCGGAGCTTTAAGACTAACAATTGACATACACGGGGAAAAAAATGATGATGTACTTTTAATCTTCATTCAAGGGAATACATTTAGGTGACTGGTAATACTGAAATATACTATAGTCTCACTTGAACATAATATTGCATTACTAGTCATTCAAGTGTTTTTTGTTTTTACATACGATAGTAGAGGAAGCATTTGTTAAATTGGATATTTCTTCTTTATGCTTGAAACATAAAGCACCATTGGTGTCATCGTAATGTCATGAAAGTGAGCATAAAGAAAGCCTTTGACGTGGTGTTCAGCATAAGGTTCTTGCCTCCGCTGCAGCACTTCTTTACCTCTTTCATTAATATGTGATGAGAGTGAACATCTCCAAAGGCCTGGATAGGCTGAGGCATTGTTTCTCTTTTACAGTCATCTCACATGGAAGACGCAAACTTCAGAGCGTCAGTGATGTGCCTAATGAAAGACGTCTCCACCTCTGCGTCTCGTTTCGCTCCGTGTATTGGAAATCTAAATGTTGACTGAAGACAGTTTGATTCTGTCTGTGATTTTCTCCTGGAATGAAAAATAAAACTACGGGAAGACATAAGAAGACACTATTCTGATGCCATTTTGGGAGACAAAGAATTTGGTCCACACCACAAGTTATTTCAAAGTCATTTCAAACATGTGTAACTATTTGAACAAAGCCTTTTTTGGCTCCAAAAATGTAATCCAGGCCATTTTCCTAAAATGTGATCACTGGAAATGATGCTGCTTTGAATGTGAACTATGTAGGAAGAAAGCTTACAAAAATATGTGATGTTTAGTTACAACTTTCCAAATGTTATTGTTAGGTATGTGATTTTTAACAATAAACCAATAATTTCCAAATTCTGTTGAGGGGGAATTAAAGATTTTATAAAAATGATCTCGATACTTTTTAAGTCAAATTTCAACATAAGCCTTAATATTATGTAGCTTCAGTACTGTAGAATACTGTTTTACTTGATTCTGATGAGATTTAAATCAAAATTACTATAAGAGCCAATTGAAAATAATCTCATTGATACATGATACATTGAACATAATGTATAAACGTGTTGAGTACACAAAACAAACATTTGATTATGACAACATGCAAAAGCAAAGCACCAGCTAACCATTTCACATCACAGTTACATTTCCTTTGGAAATTCTACTGTGATTTAAGACTGACAGAACGAACGAAGATATATAAATAAGAATCTGGAAAAACAAAGTTGTTTGTGAACCGAAATATGAGATAAACAGTCTTTAACATATCTGTAGTTTACTGCTTATTCCTCTGTGCAAGTAGTGTATATGGTATGGTCCAAATAACTCTCTTATGGTTCACGGCAGCAACAAAACACTTTTAACTTATGCGCTCTCCTTATTAGTGCAGATTGCTTAACGCCTACTTCACAGAATACATATAATGTAGCTGACAGCAGTAAGGCCATAATCTCCTCACTAACACTTTCTTACACTAACCAGCTGTCCCCCTGTGGTTTCAGCTCTAGCCAAACCTTTGAAATGTCCTTCAAGGCATAAAAAACAACATGCACATTGCTTTGGGTAAAATCCTATTTGTACACTGTAATTACACTTTGAAAACTTTTAAAGTTTCAAGTTTTAAGATCTTCACTTTTCTCTGCTCATCTCTGATATTGATTAGTCTCTAAACGCATGTTCGGCTCGCTGTTTGAAAGAACAAAGAGGTTTTCTCTAAGACGTCTTTGAATGTTTGAGATATGATTTGGTGGTGTTATCAAGGGAAGCAATCAGAGAAATTCAGTCAATAACATTCACAACCATGCAACAACCTGTAATTTGCACTCGAGAAAAATAAAGGCGTTTGTTGTGCAGTTATAACTAAGATTTAGCCTTAAAGGTATCCTTTGGTCCATTGTGATGAAATATAGCTTTAACGCTCTGTAGTCTGCCTAAATGGGGAAAAAAATATTAATATAATTAAATATCATAATTTATTTATAACAAGATTTAATTATTATAAATAGGTTCTCTAATTGATTTTAGAATCTTCTTCTTTTTAACAAATTTTGGGATGTATCAAGTTATTTTAATAATAAACAACTATTTCAGTAATCTATAAATCATCTAATCTATAAAGCGTTTATAGAGATATAAACGCACTTAAACAGATGTCTGTGCCTTACTATGCACTTTTGACTAAAACAAAACAGTATCTTCATAAGAAAATAGCAAGGACTTGTGTAAATGATTTAATGATGAAACAGTCTGCTCTGGAAGAAAATCGATGGATTCACTTCTGCTTTAAACTAAAGCATGTGCGTTCTAAACAACTAATCGAAAGGATAATGTTCAATAATGAATCCATTTTCAACTCAGTCAATAGTTACAACCTTCAACTCGGGTGGTGCTGTTGACTACAAACATTGCAGAACATCAAACATCAAACAAAACATGAAAAAGTGGCCATTCTGAATTCTTATTCGCATGTTGTGTTTGTTTATACTCACGTTATGTGGCTTTGGTCCTGCAGTTAGATGTTGGCCTTGGTAAAATAAAAGACGGTATTATTGTTTTCAAAGTAGAACTGAACTACTACTACAGTAAAACAGCCATAGACGTATGCAAACAACTCAAGATACATTTTTCACGCTATAATGAATATCCACTTTTTATCATAGACAGATTATATGTTAACAAAATGTGACGTCGCCCCTTCACGTGCTGCCACGATCAAATCTCGCGATACGACGATATGTTTCCAGGGGGACGGGATTTGAGTTCGAGATTCAGAAAAGTTGCTCCAGGAAGCGTCTGCTCCACAGTGTGATCATGGATGTATTATAAGAAGTGATGGATGTATCTTTACTTCCATAAACCGCCTATGTAAGTACACATAAATGCTGTTATATTTAGTTATAGTTTACTTTGTAATCTTTTTTCCACTGATGAAGCAATCTACAAAAAGCTAGTTAGCGCCAAATAACAACAAGCAACACCGCATATAACAGTGAACTCGGCCTTTTGAACTCGTAATGCTAGCTTTTATTAATATATTTGTTGTCAAACCTGAGTTCATGATAGAGTGTGTATTTCTCGCATGAAAGCTATCGATGTTTTGGCTTCGCGCTAAAATTCAATAATGGTATTATTAAACCAGGTCATGCACAGCAACAGATCTTTGTGTACTTGGCTGTGGTAGTCATCTGTAACATCTACAGGTTCATTCATTCATAAAATGTTAACAATTGTGTGTACTTATCCTTCATCTCAAGTTCTGTTTTAAGATAACATCTTTTTAACAGCTATAATGAAAACAATTTATCTTGTTTTTGAATGCTGCTTGTATTCCTACTGCTCTTATGTAATCTACTATTTGCAAACACTATATTTGGAAGGTAGCAGTGCTATGTGAGATGGATGTGCGTTTGGAAAAAAATAACAAAATCAATTAAATTGTCTTTACAGTCCCTCTCATACTGTTTAAAGATGCCGTCGCCTCAAATTCTTAAGCCAGTGCTTAAGATGAAGGTGGATGAGCTCTTCCTGACTTGGCTGAGTGAACCTGCCACCCAGTCAATGCTAAAACATTATCTCCACCTCATAAAAAATGGACAATATACTGAACCGTGTAGTGGGGATGGCACTGATAACACGTTGGATAATAACATGGGCTGCAAGAAGAACCAGGCAGAGAAGAAACCTGCTCCCCTCAGCACTGCATCAAGTCCTCCCTCTGCCGCCACTCTACCCTCAGGAAGCGCGGTCAACCCCAGAGTGACCGGGCCAAGTGGAAGAATACTGCGCAGATCAGTCAGCACAAAGAAGGTAACACACTTATTACAGCGCATCTTCCCGCAACCAACCAAAATATGGACTTGACACTCAAATTACCCTGGTTTAAAGTTTACGTCCCTCAGTTCTCAGTAGTGTGTGAATCTAAGGTTACCTTATTGCCTGTCTGTGCTGAAAGAAATGGTCAGCTTTGCTTATTTTTACTTTTTACTTGAACTTGTTTGGTAGGTTATTAGAGTATAAAGCGTCAAGGCTTTGTGCAAAAGGTGTGTCGGTTTCAGGTTTTGCACCTTATGTAACTATTAAATTGTTTACGTCGTATTTATTAAGTCATAAATTATTTTTGGCATTTGGTTATCTTTGTTTTGATTTCGTTTTGAGTAGATACTTTAGTTGCGCGATGTCTTGGGTTATTGTGGTATTTAGTTATTTAATTATTATACAGAAAAGCGTTTCAATACTAATTGAAATAATACACATTTTCAAGACGAGGTTATCGTTTCTTAAGATGACAGAAAATCCGAATGTCGTCTTTTTTTTGATTGTGTACAGTCATGTACCTCTGCTAATTTGTCCCGCAAAATTCTGGGATACCTAACTTTCAAACTACAAAAATATTTAAGTACCATTATGTGAAAAAATCCATCCAGCCAGCTAGTTCAGCACTCTTTAAACAATTCTTTAACATGCGTGAGCTTTTGGCCTTTTGGACTTTATTAGATCAGCTTTTTCGGACACAAAAGCCCAAAGCGTCAAATAGTGACTCACAGGACTCTTTCATTACAAGTATGCAAAAGATAGCATGTTTTCTAATAAGTTGGAGACATCATGTTGTGGTGTGATTTTACTCTTACAAGACTCTTTCTGTTGGGACAAACAACATGTTTAAAATAACTATACCGATAAAAAATTACTTTTTCAACTCTTGTGTATTAAATAAGTAGTTAATGAGTCTTTGGACTATGGTGTCTGTGATGACAGCGAGGCGGGCAGACAGCTGTGTGCCCATGCTGCAGGGGAATTTTCCTCCTGCTTCTTGTTGACGTGCTAAATGATGGCACGAGGACACGTACAAATGGTCACTGATCAATGCTGCTCTTCAGAGTTTGAGATCAAAGTCAGAGCCAAGGTTGTGTGTGCAGTTGTAAACCCCACAAGCTGAATAACATTATTTGCGAATGGGGAAATCATTAATTTGTAAAGATTGTCAATTTAGCTTTTGCCACAAAGAAATAAAGATGATCAATAGTATCATGTGAATCTTGCGCAAGAAGAGACATATCTGGATGTATATGTGTGCATGTGCATCTTAATATTCATAGAAAGTAGACTACCCTTTGAGGCTTTCTCCAACACATTACAAATCAACTGGCTTACATGTGCTATTTTTTCATTTTCTCTTCCGTATAACATGATTGTTTTGACAGATTTACATAAACTTTAGATATTCATAGCCACGTCTCGTTTCTTGCAGTGACCTCTCACCCTTGTTTCAACCCTGTAGCTGCGTTTTAATGTAAAGCAGCTGCTGAATAGCTCTTACAGCATGCTCCGCTGTGACGTGGGAGGCGGCACTCGGCCATATCGTCTTTTCATATTAAGGAGATTTGTTGTGTGGGATAAAGTATTGCATCTATTTTAAGAAGACAAAATAAAATGTACAAATGCATTCTTCAAAGGACTAATGGAAAATCTGGTGTATGTTGCTGTGATGCTGCTTGGAACAGCTGGTCTGACTTTGACATCAGAAGCGGTTATAGATAGCCCTGGCTCCCCCACTGTGGCCATGGGATACGCAGAACTGCACTGGTCAGATGAGGTGTGGCAGCACGTCCAGCTTCTCGCTAATTCCCTCTACATATACATTTTGTAGAGCCGCTCATTAAAGAAACATGCAGGAGATGCGATGCCGACAATAAAATCGGTGTGTGGGAATGTTGGAGCATGTTACTTTCTCAGCGTACTAAACTCTACACCTCAAAATGATGATCCATTCCAGGTCATCGCTTTAGGTGCCAGAGTGTTCTTCAGAAATGTGATGTGACACAGACAAAAGGCCTGAAAGAGACCTGAAACTTTATAAGAGAAGGAGGACTATCAATAACAAAGAGAAATAAAAGAAAAACATTTAGGGGAATGTTTGGAAGTCCTGGTTTCAGAAAAACATGCATCAATTCTGCTACTTTTGCACCAATACAGTTGACAACTTCTCTTTAGTTTGTTTTATGCTTTGACTATCTTGAACACAATTAGCCAATGACACTAGTATATAAAGTTCTATTCAAATTATTTCTCATTTAAATTAAGGGAATGGAAATCTACTGAACTTTAAATAACACTAAGCTGCTTGTTCCATCAGCTCATTCTTTTAAAAATAATGTTTCCATATTCAATTTATAGCATATTATTTAAGCCTAATTTGAAATCTATTTGTGAGAAAGGGTTCAGGGTCACTTTATCAGTTGTGTGACCTCTTGCCAACTGTTAGAGAGTTACTTATGAGGCATGGTCCACAGACAGGCTTTGAAGTTCATGCATAGGTCTATGTTTTTGGTATAGAACAGTTTTTTTGACTGCTGACCTAAATATTGATTAGATGTGTTTGTCATGTATGGTGTCATTGATCACTTTATCTGCTCCACTGTGATGCAATGGGGCCCTGCGCTCCGTGCTGTATGTTGTATCTTTGTTAGTGTTGGAGAGAAAAATAAACAATCAATTGTTTTTAACTTGTGTTAAATAGATTCTGAATCCAGATTGTGTTGGATTGAGTCTGGGCTTTTTGGATTGTACTCTGCTGCTGCTACATGTGTCTGTTCGTGTCATGGGGTGGACTTCCTGTTAATGTATCTGTTTTTATTTTGATATATTTGTGTTCTCTTGTCGTGAGTTTTACTTCCTGTCTGTCTCGTTGATTGTTTGCCCTTCCCTGATGTGCTACACTTGTGTCTACCTGTGTGTATTTAGACCCTGTGCTCATGTCCTCTTGTTGTCGGTCCATTGTTGTTTTCCCCCCATGTCTGGTTCACGTTTTCAGTTTTTACTTTTTGTAGCATTTATTAAATTATATTATTTTTGCAGTTCTGCGTTTGGGCCCTTCCTTGTTAATCCTTGACAGTTCGGCTCTAAATCCGATTTTAGAAATCGGCATCAAACGAGGCCAATTATACTCAATTCTTTCCCAAGTAAAAGTAAACAACAAGTGCATGTTTTAAATGTTTTGTATAAAAGTGCAATTTTTCAATGCTGTACACTATTCGAGCAAAACTTGAACAGAAACCATGACGTCATTGTAGAAGTGGTTGATACTGGTACTGAATACAAAAGTTATACTACTAAACCTAGAAGCATGGCTCACGGCAAATGGGAAATAAACTGAATCGGAATCTGAAAATTAAAGAACACATTCCAGAATAATATAATAGAGTAAAGTTGATTACAACTCTCTCCACACCTGGTCACTTTGAAGGTCAAAGAATGGTCAAATGAATTCCCTTTGGTTATTTTGGTTGTGCTGACAGTGGCTCAGTTGGTAGAGGCCTTTGGGCCTAAAGGTTGTGGGTTCCAGCCCACCACAAGATCTACTTCACCACTCACACTGATGTCTGCTGTTGTTGTGTCCTTGGGCAAGACATTTAACCCCACTTTGCCTGAAGCCCCCGCTGAAAGATCAAGGCTCCTGTGGACTCACCACCTGCAGGAGGATCAGTGAGGGGCTGGTGCTCTGTGTACTGGGTGCAGCTCTGACTGCCATCCCAACCCCACCCAGAAATGGCTTAAGGGGAAGAAAATGGATGGATAGATGGATGGATGGTTATTTAACTTTTTTACACCAGAAACTAAAAGAAAAAAATTTATGAGAATTGTTGGTTGATCTCAGCAGCACCTCTTAACATTGAAGCAAACTGACATATCCAAAAAGGGATTATACACAGAAAGATATAGCGACCATTGAGGCAGGCCTGCACACACAGAGAAGTGCAGAAATAATTCAGGCAACATTGCATGAGGCCACTATAATTGCACTTGCAATATAGGGGTATAACATGTTTTTTTGACAGCTCCATCAATTTTACAATCCTTGTCGTAGATAATGATGTCTTAGATGTTGAAATGAGTTAAACCCTTATAATTACTTTACACAAAACACTTCTACTGATGCAATGCTGCTGCTGTCTCGACTTGTTATCTCCAGGGATATTTTTCCCCGGGACATTTAGTGTTGAAATTGATGGATAAATAAACATGCAAAACAAATGTTATCCTTTTGCATCCTATAAGGTCCCTGCAGAGTCCGGGTGGAAGATAACAGGAACTGTGTATTGACTAAGACAATGATATTGTATAATATACTTTGGTAATAAACATATGGGCTTCTTTAGCTACACAATAACATAACTTCCTGCCAATGATTATTTCTTGTATAAATACGTTCAATAATCATCTGAGACCCCTGTGACCTACTGCATCAGGTTTTTAAGCACTTAGCAAAACTTTGTCTCTCCTGATCTAATTTTGCAGGCTGACTAAAATGTGTTTGCATTGCTTTTAATAGACACAGACTTGTTCACTCATCATTCTTTCAATTTGACGTGTGTCCCCTTCCCCCGTATTGCCATACACTATAATAAGATGTGGAATGTCTCACTGCACTATGGAAAAGACAGTCCAATTTAGAAGCAATGCAGATAGTTTGAAATTATGTTTTTATTCTAGCAGACAATTTTGATATAGCTACGTTATTGCCTTTTACATAGTACAACTTTCAAATTAGTTTTCTAAAACCACAGCACAGGGCACCCAGGACCTCAAGAAGTCTCTGTATCTGTATCATCCACAATATACACATTTTCAAACATATTTTTACAAGGGCCCGAACCTGGATGGTAAGAGAGTTGTTCTGGCGCTGCAGCCTGTTTTTCTCAGTGTGTCAAGAAGAGGCAACCCAAGGTTTTTGGGGCAAGGTTTTTCTGTTAATCACAATGGCAATAAAAAATAATTCTGATTCTATATAATTGTTTTCGGGATTGTAAAAAAAAAAAAAATCTCTTTGTGAATGTGATCACATTGACAAGCATTCAGAAGTCACTACAAATCTGATGAATTGACTCACACGGCCACTGCAGGAGCTGCAACAACAGGTCTGTCACTTTACATAACCTTGTATGAGCAGTGAGGAATGCAAACTGGAAAGGGCAGATCTCTTGGCTCTCACCCCTCCCATCTCTCACACACACTCAGGCCCACAGTGCGTCAGTCCTTATCAGCCGTTCTGAGGCCCAGGCTCTGGATGTGTGTGCAGACAGCTGGACGAAGCAGCAGCTCAACTATGACATGGACAGGACAACCTCAGTAGCAGCTGCTCTTCTTTTTTAGGAAGCTCCAACTCTGAGCACAAGGACAAAAGCTCTGGACATCTTTCCGCTCTAGTAGTGATTAGTGAACGCAAAAACCCATTGGAGTTTATGTTCCTGGCCACGTAAAGCGTGAAGATGAGGATGAAGGAGCTCTCTCTACGTCAGGACCCTGACCTGAGGAAGGAGCTGGCCCAATTGGCGCGGGGTTGTGATTTTGTCCTACCTTCTCGCTTCAAGAAGAGGCTCCGAGCTTTCCAACAAGGACAGGCAGGTGCTTGTAGTATGTCTACCTCTGGGTTGCAATTCGTTCATTAATGTTTTAATTGAGCTTATGTAAACAAAGTTGGTCTTTGTATATAAAGTCGTTACTGGGGACTGCTTATAGACCTGCTCATGAAATATTGGATTGATTATTTTTAAGATGTTTCATGATGTTATGCTTGTTTTGTAAATGTGGTCTGTATTATATTTGTAACATGGCTTAACATCAGCAGAGGATGTAGCATTTAGCTTCACACCAGACTTAGATAAAAGGGACAGTGTGGGGCCAGGCAGCAAGATATGTTTATGTCCATTTATAGCCATCTCTGACCCCAACGCACGAGGGGAACAGAGCTACACCAATTGTTATGCAGCTCAAGTGTTCTGAAGTGTTTTCTGACAAATTACAACAAAATGGATTTAAAGTCTAAGGAATGTGTTACAATGGAACACACTTACCATGTCATTTTTACGCAGATTTTTGTTTGTGCTTAATAATTTGTCCGCTTATTATTACGCTTATTATTACAAGTCCTTTTATGCATTTTAGAAGTTTGCAAAATATTGTTCTTTAACAACATGTTGACGTTTTGACTACTGGTAATAAGTCTACTTGTTTGATTGTATCGCCAGATTATTGCACATTGTGTTGTTTTTATACTTACATTTAAAACCTTGTATCTTTCATTACACACAGTTACATTACACAGTTGGGTCTCTTTTATTGATATTATTACCTTTCTAGACAATCTGCAAATGGTAGTGTGCTCAGTTTCTGCAGATATATTCTTGATATTGATGCATTTGATTCTAGTCCTGATCGATCAAGCCTTTATTGTTGGAGGAAGAGCCAGTACCAGGGCTCAGACTTGACACTGATGTCTCATAGTGGCAGAAATAGAACAGAGCTGCCTTTGACACTGGTGACATCCTTTGAGTGTGCTCCAACAGAAAGAGCTGGGTCACTTGTGTTTATGGTGTGTTGTTGTGTTAGGCAAGTGTTTGCTCTTATTATCTTGTGACATGCACTTAAGCCGTTAGTATACTTGATCAAGATTAGGATGGCAGCTTTTGTTGACTTTTGCTTTCTTTACTCCTAGCGCTTGACACAATTATAATGTTGCAATAATTGATGCTACAAAAGATCAAAACACTTCAATCTCAGCTTTTCTCAAGAACAGGTCGCATTTGTTTTATTTTCCTCTCTTCAATCGCCTTTCACACTTTGGTACAATTTAATATTTATAATCTATTAATAAGTTCCTGTGCAGAAGTGTGTGTGTGTATATATAAGAAACACAAATCTAATGTAAATTTCAGATTGATCAATATGAGGGAAACAGATTGCGATGTGTATTTTTTCCCAGATGGCCAAATTCTATATTAACTTATATTAACTGTAATCTAATTTTTCTTATTCAAACAAAGCCTAACACAGATTATCTTCTTCTCACAGGCCCAGGTGAGGACAGAGCAGCCCGTCACCAGGGCACTGAGCGAAAGCATTCCAAAGTTTTACTTCCCTCAAGGCAGGCCTCAAGCCAATCTCAACATCGACAGCCTCATTTCCAAAATAGAGAAAACATTTTCTCAGTTTCCAAATGAAAGGGCCACCATTGATGACATGGGGCAGGTCGCCAAGGTAACTGTTTGATATCCATTTTTTATTTTTTTCATTTATGGAACGAATGAATTATGATGTTAGTGTTTACTAGGAAGTATTACTACAGCATTATACTATTTGGGCAATGAAATAGATTTACATATCATTTCAGAATTTCTCACTGTTTGATTTCTTCCTATTGTCTTAGGCCTGTGAGTGTCCTCTCTACTGGAAAATGCCATTGTTCTGTTTGGCCGGAGGCGACAGGACTGGCTTCGTGTCTGTTCACAAATTTGTGGCTATGTGGAGAAAGTAAGAATGTTTTTCATCATTGTAACTAAAGCCTTTAACTCCAGCTACAGTACGTTTAGTACTATTGGGGTGCAAGCTGTAAGCTTTATAAAGTCAAGTTACAAAGGTGTGCATTCAACATTTAAAAATTATTCTCGCTCTGAGAATGTTCCCTAATGCGAAACTACAGAACGAATGATTAGACTTATTTAACCATCTTAAACATCTTCTTGATTTTACAGCATTGAAAGCCATTATAATTATTATGTGTTGCACCTACCCTGTGTTTTTTTTTTGAGAGCTATAAAAAGGGTGTAGTAGGAAATAACCATGCTAACATCTGTTCTGCCTCACCTCCACCAGAACGCTGCAGACCTGTCATGATGACGCCTCTAAATTTGTGCATCTCTTGGCCAAACCCGGCTGTAATTACCTGGAACAGGACGACTTTATTCCATTCCTGCAGGTAGGTGCAGCTCAAACTTGGCACACGTGTGGCACAACTGCCACAGCTTTGGTGGTCTGCTTTGGTGGGCAAATTTGTGGTTTGCATCAGTAATGCACCGGACAGAGAATACTCATGAGATTTCTAACTCACTTGGGATAGAGTTTTGATAATCTTTGAGATTTAATTTCCAGAATATTTAGTAGAGAACATTTCTTATCTAATCAACTGAGTGAATTACTGAATTGATGTAGCCAGATGCTGCAACATTCGCTTCTCTAAGACAAAGTCTTGTATGTTGTGCTGCCCTGGCTGTTTCTGTTGTCATTGTGGTTGACAGGCTGTTGGTGCTGCATTTTGGCCCCGCCCCATACCTGCCTCATTCCCATGCTGGAAAAAGCAGCTGGCCGAACGGCACTCGTTAGCGTAGCCACAGCGATGCCTTGTGACGCTCACTGTTTAATTTGTTAACTTGCGTTCAGTAAATGGCTTTTGACTGTTTTGATGAATGAAAGGAGGATTGCAGTGGAGTAGATGTGACTGTCCCTGCCTGTTTCCTGTGTGCAGTGATTTATGTGTTTCTCTATGATTTAATTTCTCAGCACAAGAGTCAAAAGGCACACTGACCGCCCACAAAACGAGGCCTTTTACATATCATACCCTACTGCCACCTCCACATTTCTGCCAACAGTTTTCTGTGCATGTCTTTCTTTTGCATAATAAACAATGCCTATTGTTAAAACGATGATGATAAACTGTAACTTAATCATGCGTCTCATTTTCCCCACTGAATATTTGGTTTACTTTGGATTCACTGATTTTCCCAAAGTCACTGTTACAGGTCACATTACCGCCTCATTGCATGTATTTGATATTCCACGTTTATGTTGCACAATCATTTATACTTTGATTCTTCTGTAAACACAATGGCCTATTATTGTACATGATTTGACAATGCTTTCTTTTGTTGTTATGCTTTTTATGTGCTTGTTATGGAAATGATTTTGACCAGGACTTTTTTTCTGTTTGCAGGATGTTGTGAATGCACACATTGGCCTAGCTTTTCTCAAAGAAGCACCAGACTTTCACTCAAGATACATCACCACGGTAAGATCAAACACTGATGCAATTGTTACTATTATTTCTGTAAAAAACACAAAATTTTCTCTTATAGGTTATACAGAGGATATTTTATAATGTCAACCGGTCATGGACAGGAAAAATAACAAGTAATGAACTCAGAAAAAGTAACTTTCTCCAGGTAAGTTATTTTTTCATTTGTTATATTTAATCTTTTTATTGTCTAATATTTTTTTTCAAACTAAGCCCCTACACGCTTGGTACTATTTACAATAAAACAATTTATTTTTCAGAATGTGGCATTACTGGAACAGGAAGAAGATGTAAACCAGCTGACAGATTACTTTTCATATGAGCACTTTTATGTCATTTACTGTAAGTTTTGGGAGCTGGACACAGATCATGATCTGTACATCGACAGAAAAGACTTGGCGCGGCATAACGACCAAGGTATTCTTACATTTATACCATTCTGCAGTTTATGAAATTCTGGATTCTACATTTTGTTTATAAATATCATCGTTGTTTATAGCATGGAAAAGATTATCCAATATTTTACTCAGTATGTCCCTTTTTAGATAATAATACTACCCCTAATGTGGGGCGTTTGCGGTAAATTGTCACAAAATGTACAGGGCTAGCACAAACTAAAAATATATTTCATTATGCAGCTCTTTCCCATAAAATGATTGACAGAATATTTTCGGGGACAGTAACAAGGTAAGATTTGGAGGCGTTTATTATACTGTGTATGCATCGCTGTTTAATGAATAACCCATTATTTGTTTTATCCAGAGACAGACTGGTGTACAAGGAGAGAAAGCTGAGTTACGCTGACTTTGTTTGGTTCCTGATTTCGGAGGAGGACAAAAAGACAGACACAAGGTAAATTCTCTGGCCTCGGGTTTGTTGGGTCCAAGGCCACGCTGTCGGCTCATCCCTGCTCTCCTCAGTATAGAGTACTGGTTCCGCTGCATGGACCTGGACGGTGACGGCGCGCTGAGCATGTACGAGCTGGAGTATTTCTACGATGAACAGTGTCAGAAGCTGGAGGCCATGGCCATTGAGCCCCTTCCCTTTGAAGACTGCTTGTGCCAAATGCTCGACCTTGTCAAGCCCGAGCTCAAAGGTGAGGATACATTTTATTTATGACGATCACACGCTAACAGACGCCGCTATTTCCTCCGCGGCCCACACAGGATCCCCCACACAGAACATAGCCCCCAAACACTTAACTGCCATTTAAAAAAAAAAAAAACAGTCCCTAAAGCGAGGGACTGCTTAGAATGTGAGAGAATGTGACCCGGAGTCGACCCGGTGTCGCTGTATCCGTGCGTACTGCAACGTAACACCACTTACCACTTAATACAGCGGGACACATGCTTGAATGCTATATATCTGTGGTTCTCAACTGGTGGGCCCTGTGCGCATTTTGAGTCATTCGCGAGTTCTAAAGTCAAGTTTCTTTTGAGTTTTTTTGTACAGATTATCATATTGTATTTTTCTTACTACTTGTGTGTATTTACATTTGATAATGTTTTAAACTAAAAGGAAAAAATATAAAAAATATATGTAAAAGGATATTATGCCGTTTTTTATACTATAATAAAAACATCCAAATCTACCAATAATTATTATAAAATTTTACTTATGTCATATAATAAAATGTTGAGCTTGCCCTATTTGCGGATTCTTTGAGTTATTTATTCAATCCATTATGGCACATTTCATAAACCGTCTGTACAGGAAAAATACAAATTAGTCTGACTTGAAAAAACAGACACACACAAAAAACAATATAATTAAAAAAGCTATTAATACATAAAATTATCTTCATAGTTTAATTAATAGAAACCAATCAAATCAAATAAAAAATAAAAACATTTTGCCAAAACTAAAATGATACTTTTAACTCACACTTACTTCAAGATATTTTGTCTATCTATTTCCTTGATCCCAGTTCGTTGGGAGTCATAATTTTTTTTCAATCAAAGAAAAATATTGTGAAAACCTACAGTATTTTACATGATTTATGTATTTAGTATTCAAAATTCACTTCTGATTAGGGTCCAACCAGTGGGGGCGGGTCCCGGCTCAAAAGTGGCCAAAATGAAGTGCGCTGACATGCTTGCAATACCACCGCGGGTCGATGGGGGTGGACCCAGAAGAAGAATTAGCCAATGCTAACATATAGCATTAGCTGACCTCTCGAAAACGTCTTTACAGGATGGACCAAAAGTTGGCTCTTGGCCCAAAGCTCCGTTCCACATGTGTGTCAATGCTGAGGGGGGTGGATTTTTTTGGTCCACTCTAGTTTACTTGCTGTGAATTTTTGAGGTCACTTGTTTAAATGAATGGGGCTCTTGCCGGCTGACGCAGACGCGTTTTTAAAAAAGATTTCAGCCCCCGCGGCCATTTTGAATTTCTCCATGAAAGCCCAATTTTTGGCCCATTAGTTAGAACTAATATATACAGTCTATGGGTCCAACACTGCTCTGTATTCTAATATTTTTCCCACATTCTCAGAAAAGATCACGCTGCGGGATCTGAAAAGGTGCAAGACAGCCCACATGTTTTTCGACACGTTCTTCAATATTGAGAAGTATCTGGAACATGAGCAAAGGGACCCGTTCTCTGTTATAAGGGTTTGTATGCGTTTTAAAAGATTTTTCTTGAGCGACCAAAACGAACTGCGTGAAAACCAAATTCATACAACATTTTATTTCCTTTTTAGGAGGTGGAGTCTGACGGCCAAGAGATTTCTGACTGGGAAAAATATGCGGCAGAGGAGTACGATATTCTGGTTGCTGAAGAAGCGGCCAACGAGCAGGGCAATGACGTGTATGTTTTATAATGCCACATTCAAATTCAGATTTATTTTATTTGCAATTTGCAGTAAAACCACCTAGGAATAAATGTACAAAAGTCCCCAGTGTGCACAAGACAAGTACATAAATAAACAAGGTTGAAAGTACAGAAATAAAACTCAAAGTAAACAGTATTGACAGTGTGAAATCAATCAAATAAAACGGCTGTTGGCAAAACGTACGATTCTGAACATAAATGTAAAGCAATCGCATTTTATTCTAGAAAGACCTGTTTATGAACTCCAGTAGCGAGTTGTTTTGTCAATAGGAGTATTATAGATAAGACTGTTGACGGGTATGTTATATGGCAGTTTTAGGACACGACTGACTTCTAAAGAAAATTACTATTAAGAGAAAGGCAGGTAAGAAACTCAGGGAAAAACACCCAAGATTAAAGCTGGGGTATCTAACTTTTTTAATTTTTATATTAATATCTTTTTGTTGTCCAATTACTACAAAGACTAGAAAAATACTGTCCTCATCTTAAAATAAATATAATTATTGTTTGCATATTTGTAAGACTACGGAATCTTATTAAAAAATTAAATTAAAAAAAGTTTCTGTTTTTACGAGACAAATAAATCCTCTGTTTAATGACCTGACCATTATCATCAGCTTGATCACTCAGTAGGCTTTTTTATCAACAAAGTAATACGAGCAAACATGCACTTTTAGGCAACTTCTTAAACTTGAAAATCTGCTAGCCACAGCCTGGACTCGTAGTTAGCTGTTAGCTTATCATAAAGAATTATGATTATAACACTCTCCTTCCAGCCATACAGCCAAGCGTTAGAGTTAGTACAACCACGGTCCGCACAGAATGGCCCTAATGTATGAAACTTGCGTACGGCCAAATCCAGGTGTAAATAATCTACGCAAAAAAGTTACACTTTTCGGCATTTATCAATCTGTACGTGAGCGTACGATACGCACAGAATTTACACCGTCAGCAGGTGGTGTACATTTTACACCCATCTCATTCATCACAACGCCAATACACGCATGAAATGCAAGATTTGGACAACAATAAACATATTCCCACTCTGGCAAGATTATAGGCACACCTCTCACATTACAAATATGCAATTTTACTAAGTTATATTAGGGCTAGTTTGTGTTATTAAATAACGTGCAAGATTTCAAACTCTAAAGTCTCGCACAAATGTGTGGATCGTTGTGGATATGCACCTACAATCAGTGCGTAACGGCATTTTGGTTCAAGCGGGTCCAAGTGGGTCCAAGCAATCTCCTGCTCCGTGAAGTATTGTTTCTGAGCCGTTTACTCACTAACCAGACCCTGCGCCGTATACGTAATTACGGATATGCTTTGCCTCATTCACCTCTGGCAAAGCAATGTGGGTTTTCCTTAGTTTTGTGCAAAAAGCCCCATAAATGCACCTGATCTTGCTCAAAACTGTCTCAGGCACTGCCCTTTACTCCGCAGAGCAGAGATAGGATGCAACGCGCATGTGGGAACTGGCTCACCGGCAGTATAGTTCATTCATTCATTTATTATTTATTTATTTATGTCAACATTTCAGGAGAGATGTGCTGCAGTGGGTCTAGACACTATAGGGAAAAAGTGTGTATATAATATACCGTATATATATATATATTTTTGAAACGTGAATAAACTCAGAAGAGCGTGCTATTTGAGGCTTGACGAGGCTTGACGAGGCGTGATCAGGCGGTTTCTGAATATTTATAGGCGTGATTTTCATAAATACGCTGGTTTTGAGCGTAAACAGCAGCAGGTGTATACACCCAAAATATACACCTTTTCTGCGCAACTTTCATACATGAGGGCCAGTGTCCCAGAACCCTGTAGAACAACGTAGAAGTGGTTTCCCCCTAAAAACTTGTCCATTGCATCAAGCTGATCACACTGGTCAGGTCATTGAACAGAGGATGTATTTGTCTCGTAAAAACAGGATTTTTTTGTCTCATAAAAACAGAAACTTTACTCATAAAAACAATAACTTTTTTAATTCAAGTGAATGCAATAAGCTTCCGTAGTAAGACAGCCCTGCGAGTCACGATTTGACACTTTGGGCTGTCCTTGGTCATTTTTTTCACTTTTCTGTCTAAAAAAACTGATCAAAATATACATGCATCGAACAAAACATTTTTGAGAGTTAGCAACAAGCTAGATGATTTTTGTTGTTGAAAGTTAGGTACCACAGCTTTAAATTTGAGCCTTCCTTCTCCCTGGAGCGCCCTGAACCTACTCCAGGCTCCTCTCATTCCCTCAGTTTTAATGCATGTTCCTGCTTTGAAAGTTTTGCTATATTGGTATAATACTTGAGATTTGTAGACTAGAGCTTCTCTCCTGGTATTGTTTACCCTCATCTGCTGTGTCTGGATATTACGTGCTCTTAAAGAAGTCTGCTTGTTTCTGTGCAGCTATGACGACCCGCTGCTCATCTCCAGTGAGCTGGGCTTCACAAAGAGGCACTTCTTTGAGATCCCAGGTCCCCATGGCGATTTGGATGAATATGAATACGAAGAAAAGTTTGAATGACCAGTGTTGCAATTTCCCATCATGCAGTTTGTGACATTCTGGAGGATTTTGAAGACGAGCATGTGCATAGGTCACATCCTTGCACAAAACCTGGATTAATAGTTACAACTGCAATTGTGTCCATCCACTGTTTGGACAACGCACAACCGTGCCTTTTTTTTTCTTTAGTTTGCAGCTTTCATTTCCATCTAATTTTATTTGTGAACTTTGTGCCACAAGTGAATTACACTGAAATAAACCAAGACTTCTGCATTTTACACTAGTTTTTTAGACACAAAATAAATGTCATTGGTGAATCTCACATTCCAATGAATTGTAATCCACAAATAAGTCAAAGAACACTTTAGTGTACAGTGTCCTATTTATTTTGTCAAACCTTTGTGTGATTTTGTTTTTGTTAACAAATACACTTGTAAATATTGTGTGTAGTAACTTTTCTATAAAGTAATTGCAAGAATAAAGGGAGTCAAGTTGAAAACATGTTTTATTTGTTTAAAGTAATAAAGTTATGATACATTTAGATTCAATTTTCCAGACTCATTTCAAGCAGGGAAGAGAACAGACTAAAATTAAACCTTTAACTAAATGTATAAAGATAAAAAATACACATTATGGCCTTTTAAATAGTTTTGTTCCATAATGAATGATTTTAAAGTGTCGGTCAGGAAACTAAACTTGTGCAATTATAAATGCTACAAAGATCAAGTTCAACTCATGAGATGTAAACATGTTTCTAAAAGTGGTGTTTAAAAAGTCACTTTTACATTTCTATTTGTGTTTTAAAATTATGAAGACAATACTGCCTTTCTTTTCTTATTAAAAATCCCCAAAGTGTTGGCACTTTCAGAGCGTCCCGTGATGTGGCACTGATACAATTAGACCATGTACTGTGTGTTATTGGTGCGATCATGGAACTATACAATTGCTGGCTTTAAAAAGCTGCACTTTGATCAAAGGATTTAAAAGAAATCCAAAACTGCATTTTACATGTGACATAAACAGCACATTTCCCCATAAAAAAATATTTTGTTTATAAACACAATGACCTGTAGCTTCATACAAAATGTCACTTGATAAAAAAAAAAGACCTCTTACAAGGTGCAAAGTAAAAACAATGAATCAATTCAAATCGTCCATAGATGTAATATACCAAAATGTTAAAGTTCCACGTCCACGGTCTCCTCTTGGGCGTCCTGGTTGGTGCTAAGCACCGGAGTGTCAAAGTGCAGTCGTCTCACCGCTGGAGCCACGGAGACAAAGAACGGATCCATGTTGGCAACAGGAGTACTGGGAAGAAACCACATCATTTGTATGATATGAAGTATATTTTAGGAATAGAATACTTTTTTATTTTACCTTGGACTAAATCTGGGTCTCTGAGATGTGTGACCAGTGATTTCTGTCATGTCAGTTGGAGTGGCCGCACATGAAGACTTTTTTCCTATGAATTGAACAAATAGAGCCATTTTTATTATTATATTTTTTCATTATTTGGTATAATGTGATCTTACCTTCCAGTTTAGATCTAGTACAACTTGGGCGTGGTTTCTTATCAGAGCTAGTATGGGACAAGACTTCCTCGGCTTCTGCCGCTGCCAATAAAGACATACGGTACTGTCCCAGTGGCTGCCAGCACTCCTCCCTGAGGTTAGTAATGTGCTCCACTGTGTGCTTCTGCAGGTAACTCAACCTGTACCAACGAGAGCAGCCTGAAGAGAACCTGCATCTTTCCCACAGAGAATGATTTTGGTTATACTTACATGATCTTTTTGTCCGGCTTCAGCAGTTTACTTGAGAATTCACTCAGGATGGTCAGGTAGGACAGGTGCACTGGTGTCTGTGAATCTGGCGTCTGCTTAAACCCTTGAAACACAAAGTCTATGCCACTCCTGCATACAGAAGGAAAGTATATGATATAGTCTTATATTACACATAAGAAATAACATAAATGTATCAGCACCTGTGGATCATGACGACACATTCACGAAACTTCACGAGATCTCCAAAGGTCATGGCAAAACGGCGAGCCAGCTCTTTGATACTGGTGAAAGTTTGGACCCCAGGATGTGGCTGGCCTCCACTCTCCTGCTCATACTTTAAACGCAAAAACAGCTGAGAAAAGACATGAGGTCAGCATCTTTACAGCCGGACGCTCTTTTGTAACAAATGTATGGCACCTGATGCAGGGACAGGACCAGGGTTTGAGTGCTCGCCATTTTGTCCGTCTGGCGTGTCCTGCACAAAGTCTCCTTGATGATGTCCCCAAAGTCGTTATAATACTGTAGACAAATGTTTGATGGTAACTGTTTATTGATTAAAAAAAACGTGCCAACTGCATTTGAGGTTGAAAATGCTAAAATTGCAATCTCATGTTTTGTAAATCACAATTATCAACACTTGATTTTTCTTATCAGGAAATCGAGATTGGTCTATGTGGGGGAAATAATTGTGATTTATTTTTTCCCAGATTGCCAAGCACCACCACAGCTAGTAGATAATGGCCAATTCACAAAAAAATACTACTGAGGAGTTTCTGACAGTGGTAATATTTATTATGTGGATATGTCCATCCATATTCAGAACTGTCAGTCATACCAGTATATCATCACGATGGAGACTGCTGTATTACCTTGACATAGCACATAAAGACCTCTGCAGCCAGACTCATCTCCAGAACCCCATGCACTATGAGTTTGCAGAAAGCTGCCAGCAGGTTTCTCCGTTTATGAAGGTCTTCAAGCTTCTCCACTTCAGAGTCGTCAGCGTCTAAGGGTCCAGATGGAAGTGATGTGAAAAGGATAAGGGATGTAAAGTGGTCAAGAGGTAAGTAGAGTCATTAATCACGAGAAATCACAACATTGGAAAGAAAGAACAAAGGCGTCATATAGTGTTTTGAGTCGCTGCAAGGACAATGGCTTTAGCAGGTGGAAATCAAAGATAACACCAGCGCAGAGTTATGGTTGTGACACCATGTGGCTTCAATCTTTCTCAAGCCTAATAAAACAGACTCAGAGTTGAGCCAAAGTTAATGGAATTTTCTCACGGAAAGAGATTGCCCTGATTCTGTGATTTAAGTCTGTACTCCTGCCCTCTCCCTGATCCCTGATCATAGCATAGCGTAGAGGCAACACAGTCTATGGAACAAAACCAGCCCGATCCAATAAAATAACTTTTTATTACAGTCAGAAACCAAAGATTGTATTGTGTATTCTGCATTTGAACATCTAACATATTTCACCCCCACATTGACTTATTCAGACTGTTGTAAAATAAAAAGTGGTTTGAGGAACGTGAGTATTTCTTATAAGGCACAAAACACATGATTTAACATAAATAATCATAATTTAGTCAACCCTAGTTTAAATTGCTGCTTTACTCTTGCAGCTTATTCTCATATTGAGAAAAATAGAAAGAAGAAACTGCTGGTAATGCTACATTTTATCTTTTTCCTCTTCCTATAAACAATATAGTGGTGATGTGTGATCAAATCCAATAAGTAAAATGTAGTAATTGTAAGACCAAGTTCAGATAGTAGTATTTTAGAAGAAAAAGAGTTTCAATACGAGGCATTAAATACTGTTGATGCACAATAACTGTTCATTGAAGAATTATGCCGTACTGACACTCACCTGTTCTTTGCCTGTGAGTCTCTGGCTTAACAAATATGTGGCTGCAGAGAAAGGTCAACAGCACCCTCTGCAGTTTGGGGCTGGGAGTGTAGAGTAAAGGACCACAGCAAGTTGGATCCCAAATGTTTGTCTGGTATGAGTGAGCCGTTAAGACATCACAGATACCCAGAAACGCCTGCAATATAAACATTCCATGTAAAAAAAATATATATAAAATAAATAAATTTTTTTTAAAAAAGTCAAAACCAGACATTATTTTATGTTTTGATGGACTCACTTGCTGCCGCACTTTGTCATCACTGTGGCAGAGGCATTGCACACTACCTTCACAAAACTGGCGCAGATGCAGTCTCTGGGCCAAGGCTTTTTCCTGCAAATCAACACTGCACTAAGAACTGCTATTTGTGTTAGAGCTAACTTTTGGTTTGGTATTTATGAAGTAACAAGTAGTTACTTGGATTGAGAAATGCATTTTACGGAAACTTGCCTTGGAAGTTAGAGTCTCACTGCTTGCATTGAGTGACCAGAGCATGGCATAACATAGACACTGCAAGACTTCCCAAAGCACCTTAGGAAAATTAATACATTAAATCATATATTTTTTATGAAGGAGTGAAGGTCAATAGTCTCGCCCCCATTCATTGTCCTAAGGATTTCAAAAGAAATCCAAACAAAGCCTGTTGTTTTCAGCCCAAAAACACATTTAAAGCATACAGTCAGACAAAAAAATGGTAATAACTTTTATAAAGTTGTCTGTGATAAAATGCTTATTATTATCATATCACCACATTCATGAGCCTGCGTGGAAACATTTGGGGAAAAGGAGTGGAGGGGAAAAAAGTAAATTTGTCAAATTATTTCTGTAAATGAAAGGAGGGCGGTCACTGTTGAGCTCCATTATTATGATAAATGTACAAATACATTTGTCAGTGTTGTGTATTTCTACCTGAGACGGCAGTCCAGACTGGTGGACAGACATGAGAGGGAACAGATGCTCAAACAGACTCCACTTGGACATGTCATGACAGCTGTAAAAGCCAAACAATCAACCATTGACATGGTGTTACGGGCAGTAAAAGGACAGCCATGCAGTGTGGGATCTTACTTGAAGAAAAATCTGACTCGTTTAATAGTAACTAGGATTTCTTCAGTTTTTTCAACATCTGATGAAAAAGTACCCTCCTTAAAAGTATGAAAATAGTTTAGTACTTTTTATACCACAAGTAAACTTAACACAGAATATACTGTATCAATGAAAGTGTATGCATTCTATACCTTTACTGAATCTTCTATAAGTAACCTTAGTTGGTTCACCCACGTTTGGAGCATGGCATCTCTGGCAGTTTGGGCAATAGAACACCAGGATGTCTCGTCCTCACACAGACTGAGGTAAGAGCGAGCTGCACCCTCCAGGATGTCAGCGGCACAGTGGAGCTCTGAAGCAGCTCTCATCGCCAACAGCAGCTCTGACAACAACTGGGACAAAACATGAAATATGACAAATATGTTTAGAGTAAAGATGAGATGATCGGAACCGATTTGTCGAGTCAGGAAGTCTGAAACCTGATCTTTTTCAGCTAACGGATAGTCAGGGAGGAAAAACTGAGGAATCTTCATGAGCAACGCAACAACATCTTCACGCTGTAAAAACTGTCAAACAATTGGAAATGTTTCAGTAATCAGTGTCTCGTTATAAAAGGAAAATCAGACTCCTACCTTTTTGATTAACTTGGGAAGCACTTCAAGAAAATATTCAGTGAGTTTGGTACCGTCTTCCACTTGGGTCTTCTTTTCCTTGACACTGGCCACCTTTTATAATGCAACGTGTCAACATGTTATCCTTGAGCTAGTCCTGTTTAAATAACGTGACATTTTGACTAATGTGTGATTCTTGATGCTCAAAACACTGATTATTATCCAGAATCCTAATACAAATCACCAAAACAACTCTTGCAGACAGCGCTTCACTGAACTACAAATGTAAAGCTGACCAATCATTAGAGACTTCACACACATACAGTGGCAGGCAAAAGACAATTGTAAAGTGAAAACCAAAAAATACAGTACACGCTTCTCTGTTTATGTTTGTTTTTATCAAATGAAAAAACAACTGCCGGAAACGTGACAACATGCAGGTCACGTGGTGCTGTTGACAAGAATTGGGATTGATCAATCACATGGATCTATGAAGTACATTTAATATCTATTGGCTATACATATTTGTTTTGCTGTGCAGATACATACCCTCCTGCCTCCACTCCTTCCCACTAGTCCTGGACCCTCTGCAGCCTGACGCACTGACGCCACCAGGATCTCTACCACGACAGTTACCTCTGTATCTTTGAGCCCTTGAAAGTGCAATGTGCAAAAAAGGTTATATAATGACAAATGGACAGGAGTGGTTTAAGAACTAATGTCTGTTGTTCTTCAAGAACACTGAGCCCCAGTCAGACTCACTTCAGAAACACAATTAAGCCACACATTCAAGACGACATCCAGCGTAATACTTTAACACAGAGCATAGTAGAATGTGTGAAGGGCGTGCCTCTGTGCCAATAATCTGTCACTATCTTTTCAATAAGGACACAAAAACCAAGACAAGCTTAAACAAATTTAAGAATGAAGTGAAATTCTTATTGCACTTGAATACAAGATACAAGAATTTATTTGCCATTTGCAGTAAAACCACATTGGGAAAACTGTGCAAGACTACCCCAGGGTGCACGAGGCAGAGAAGACGTCACACCAGAGCTCTTTTCTCGGCACCATCTTTACGGCAGCATCTTTACGGCGCCATCTTTATGGCGGCAAGCGACAAATAGTAGAATAAACAGCAGAGGACAGTAACATGCATTTCACAAAGACAGTTTGGATAGACACGGTGCGTCTAGGACAAGACACAGACATTTTTATTTGCGATATGAACTCCGACAGCCTTGCCCATTGTGGGCATTCAGAGGGGAGCCAGAAAAGATGATGGAGGGAGTGAGTAGGGAGAGGGTGAGGAGCAGGAGACAAGAAGGTGGGGAGGGGGGATCCGGAGCTGGGCATACTGTGAGTCTGTGAGGTTTGTGTTGAAGACGAGTCATCCATTTACTTTGAATGTTATTCAAAGTAAATCATTCTGGTCCTTTTCTTACCTGAACATGAGGGCAGGTCTTGCAGTAGTATAGAAGTGATGGTGGGCCAGTCCTTCAACAGAGCACTACAACAGTCCCAAAGACTGTCCACGAGGTAGACAACATGCTGGTGCAGCTGCGAAGTTCACATATTGTCTCTGTCATATGTTTGGAATTCAATAACAATGATAACTTTCTTTTGCAGTATACCTTAGACTCCTGGTAAAAGTCAAGTAGAGCTTTTAATTGAATAACTACTTGTTGTCTGTGGTCTTCCTCCTCATTGGTCCCATCCTGAAGGTCTGATGAAGTGTTCAAGAGCCTAAACAAAAAAAAAAGTCACTTTTGTGTTTGTTGGTCGTTTGTTGGTTCAAAACCTTACCTTAAAAATAGAAGTTCCCCTGCAACAAGAGCTAGGGGGCGCTGTGAGGAGTAAACAAACAGGAACAGCTGTGTATATTCACTCGGACTCAGCACACCCTTTGATTTACTATGAAAAAATGTCTTGATTAAACAACTGTAGGGCTAAAACAACACTGTGCTGTCGATCTTACTTGGAGATGATAACCAGTAATTTCATACTCTGTAGCGCCACCTCATTGTCCTTATCCAAGGTCATGGAGATGAACCGATCCTTAAACAACAAATTATATATAATAAAGTAAAAATAATAATGATTTTTGCTTGCTTGATGATTACCTTAAAGCGGACAGTGAAAAGACGGAGCTTTGGAAAGAGCATAGGATCCCCGTATATCTCCTGCAAACCCAACACGCACTTGAGCCGTACTTCTGAACTCTGATCAAATTATTTGAGTTATATTTCAGATCAAATTCTTCTGTTTTTATAGTTTAATCAGAATCTTGATTTGATTGACGAACCTTGTCGTGCATCATCCAGCCCATGTACTTGAGGTAACCATCATTGAGAAAGAGAGTGTGGTAGTTCTTCATCCATGCCCCCAACTCCTCCATGCAAATGGAACGGATCTCTGGAAGCGCGTCACTGACAAACAAGTTACGGTTAAATCAAATTCAATTTGCACATTATGATGGTGTAGTAGTTTAAATTAGTTTGATAAAGCTGGCTAAGACAAATTCCTTTTTAATTTGAAGTCAGTGGCTTGAGAAACTCGAATGAATATTGCCTTGAGCTCCATTCCTGCCCTATAGTCTCATATATTTTTTAAATCAAACCAGAAAACTTATGATCTTACAGTTCCTTGTTTACTTACCAATATCGCTTGATAAATACTTCTCTAAAGATGACTGTCATCATACTCTCCACCTCTGATCTTTTTTCTTCAAGCTGAACGTACGCAAACAAAGTCATGAATTCATAGACATAGGTTAGTGTGCTTTCAAAACAAACAAGTCTCACCTCAAGGATCTTCTTTTGAAGGCCTTTTATTTGTGGAGAGTTTTTCTGTCTCGTTTTAGACTTTTGTACAGCACACATCTTCCGGCTGTTCTCAATACCAACACTCAGGGTCAGAGCGACGCGCACCAGCGAGCTCAGCAGCTTCACGGCTTCAGAACAACATAGGATAAGATAGACTTGTGCAGCCAGCGTCAGTGTAACATTTAGGGGTAAATGTGTATAAATGATCTGTACCTGCCAGTGTGCAAGTGTGTCTAAAAGCCCTCACAGAGGACGCAGACAGTGCAGAGAGCAGAACGAGCAGTGAGTTCATCAGGTAACTGTCAAACAGCACATTGTGCTGAAACTGAGCCACCAGCACCGACATGAAGTCACACAGCTCTGAGTGGAACCAGCGCCCGCTCGGTCCTGACTGCACCAGAGGATACTCCACATCCTGCACAGTAAATGCACGCCACATATGGTGAGTTAAGACCATTTTTCATAACCACTCTCTCTTAAGCATTCATGTCCTTGTTATGGAAATATACATGTGTGGCTGGCCAATTTTTATATTAAAGACAGACCTACCCCATTTAATGGCCAGGTAACAGTCAGTATCCATGGAAAAGCCAAAACCCTCTTCACATGAAGACCCAACGCCTGAAATACAAAGATTTCATCAAAATATAGACAATAACAAATAAGTACATTTTATTTTGAATTGCTACCTCATCTTGTTTCTCGATCATCTTACTCTTAACGTTACTGCCATCTCTGCTATGACACATTTCTGCAGTAACCACACCTGGAGAATATAATGAGTGAATATCCCTGGTAATATTGCACATGTGTTGTTGGATGTACGCTGACCTTTACAACCACAGCACTGGATGAAAAAATTGAAGAGATCCAGAATGGAGGGGTCCCTTTCCTTTTCATAGGCTTCTATCCAGTCATCTATCACAGCCTGGTTATGGAGAGCAGCAATATGATCAGTCAGACAACAGCTAATAAACTAAATATCCTAAAAAAGAGCAATGCTTCAATTAACATGAGCCCTGTTTCTAAGTCTCCATTCACATCTGGTACTGTTGCCTGTAGCAATTTACCCACAACCAACCAGTTTCTGGGAAAATGCTATGGTAATCATGGCTTCCAGCGGCATCTAGAACACTTTTGTCAGTTAGAACACTTTAGTACCAGCTCGACCTGGATAGAACCAGGGCCAAGCAGATACTTAAAAAGTACCGTTTAAACAGGGAAGTTGGAAACACTCCCAATCAGGGATGAGTAGAGCCGAGTAGAGTAGAGAAGGGCCAAGTAGGGTTGGTAGAAGCAGGGATTTTGTGTGTGACACATTTGTGTGCACTAGGTCTACAAGGAACATTTGGAAGGAATTTCTTCTGTAAGATTAAGTCAATGTACCTTCATGGCGTTGCGGCCCATGTTTATCACCTCAAACAGGGTCACCGCCTCCCCATCCTCTGGTTTGTCGCGGCTGGTGCCTGCTCGACTTCCACTGCTCCTATCGGCTTTAGGGTTTTGACTTTTGCTACTTCTTGGAGTGGTCTGTGCTCGTTTTCTTCTTTTCTGGGGCTGTTAATAGTGATAAGACATTGGAGCATCAGTCAAATAACACAGATCTGTGGTGCACTTACTGCATTCTTCTGCTTGTTCTCATTCCCGGAGTCATCTTCAGACTGAAGGGCACAGCTAGTGTTTTCTCTGTCACAGGATGTTTTGCTGCAGAACATGAAGTGGTCACTATTTCATCAAAGAAAAAAAATACTTTACAAATAATACAAACTCCTACCTTTGCTCAGTGAGCCTGGATGCAGCTGCAGTTTTTGGATCTTGTATCATATCCCCCTCGGACCTTTATACATGATTGTGACTATACACTTGTAGAGGTAATCCAGGTTTTATCTGATCAAAAAGGAATGTGAATCATTTCTTGATGGAAGCATGATAGGGATGAGTTACTTTGTCAGATAGACAAGCATTAGTTGTTATTTGCTGTATTCTGACAATAGATGTGTTGCTCTTTGAAGTCTTGAATAAAATAAAAATATGTGTATGATTTTAAGACAAATATGACACATGCCCTTATCAAATTAGAGAATGTTACGAAGAATCGTGAGAGTGTTAACATTACGTTTTGCAGTCAGCGCTCTCCACTGGGAGGAGCTGCTACTAATTCCACGTTTTGTCCAATGAAGGAAACAGTAACAATCTGAGAAGCTTTGCCGCTTGGAGTTATCAGGTGAGAGCCCCCCTGTGCCCTCATCCTCTGAACAAATAAGTATAAAGGTTGTCGTGTCAATGTGACTGACTCAGGTGAGAAAACTACTCAGTCTTACCTCTTTAAGCCTATTCATTCTCCTGTCGGGTTTAGGGATGCGCTATCTGTCGCCTAAAGGATGTCAGATCAAAATTAGTTTCATGGGTAAATATTTCCTTCTTTACTGTAGCTCTCATGTTCAAGCTGCTGTACAGCCTAACCCTCGCTCATTGGAGGAGAAATATAATGTGAGTTTATGATTTGTCTGTGGATGTGTCACTCGCGGTTCTGACCCACCTCTTGTGGCGGCTGTGGACACGCGCGCCGTCCAAACCTTCAGTGACACAGACTGACCGCCAGGAAGCGCTGTTGCATTGTTTATGTTCAACACTTAGGGCAATATGAGGCAGAATCATATCACAGACCGTAGATTAGAATATATACAGTCTATAAGTATATCCGTACATCAGCTGCATGTGAAAGCTACATCCAGTCAGACCTCAAAAGTTAAGCACTACGGGGCCTGGTTGATATTGTGATGGGAGATGTCCGGGAACACCAATAAAGTGCCAAAATGTTCCACGGCAGCTGTGACCACAGTAGCCGCTTATCACCACCATGTATGGAGTGAATAAATAACATTTGAAGCATCTTTGATTTGTATTGTACAGGCTCAGGTGTTAAAACCTTATTTTCCAGTTACGATGACTCCATATTTTCATTGATAAATATTCAATACTATAATCTGTAAATGCAACTTCTTAACCCTAGAAGATTGATATTTTGGATTTGACACTTTCATTATAAATTGTTTATTAAGATGTAGTAACTGAATGTGTCCGAAATATGTATTCAGAGTTCTCCTTTTATGGACCTGTGTTACTCTTACGATGATATTCATATTACAGTTACTTGACTTAATAAATTAATAACTGTAATATTGCATGATAACTGTCATTATATCATCAACATGTCCAGGGACTATGGGTGAAAACTAGTATTTTTGCTAAAACCTGGCACATGATATATTTTCTACTGTAGCTCACTGGGTATATAACGTATATATATGTTTACAATACTTACAACCTACTTTTACAATTCCTGCTTTACGGTTACGTTCAAGCAGACCCTAAATTAAAGAGGTGTGCTTTATGATATAAAAACGTACACAAAGCAAATTTATCAGTTTATTGTTTCATTGAAAATGACTATAGTGCAAGAACATTCATACCATCATCAGACAAACATTAAAACAAGTGTAATCCTTGTACAGGCAATTCATTAAAGATATATAGCACCTTTTATGGGTTTATGGGTGTTCATCAGGACAAGAACTGGGCCATGAACGTGAGGGCTGGGTCAAGCTCCTCTGTCACCTCCTCCGGCAGCGACAACACCATCAACGTTATGTTCTGAGTCATTTCCAGTATCCTGAACAGACAAGATAGAGTATGACATTTGCATGTATTTCCACACACATATAAACTGTTGAATTGGCAAAATGTTACATTTCAGGATACTGCTTTATTATGTATTTGACCTTTGTCTTTTCTGTTCTATAGGAGTGCTTAAGGTGTATCATGAATTTTACTTCCTGGTTGTAGACATCATAGGACTTATTTACCAGTTGGATGGGTCACACATAGTGTACACTCAGACAAATCAAACTCCTCTAACAATCAAACAATATGGTTTGATGACCAAGAACATCACAAATATTTGACATATCTGCACTATTTTTTGTTATTTTGATATTATTTTCTGGACAAACTTTGTGTGGTTGGTTCAAAACTATCATTTAGTTATACCCTATCAAATAGGTTGAAATGAGCCAGAACTCTTTAAAATCTTTATTACATTTAGTTCGATAAATGCGATGTGACATTTACAAGGCGCAAGATAATAAAACTTGTCCTCACAGACTACCATTATGCACTTGCTGACTGTAGGACATTTTGTTTAACATGATTTTGGATTTCATGTTATGTCTTCAAATTCCTTCTACACCTTTTGAGCATCATGTTGCTTCTCAATAATTGAATCATTTTTGCAATTTAATGTCTTGCAATTGTTTTAACAGATGCTTGAGAGAATAAATAAAAGCTTACCAAGAAATATATTGTGCAGACAGATGAGGTTCATGCCTGGAGCCTTCCTCCGCCACCAGTGACTGCTTCAGTTGTTTGAAGTTGGCTTCGATCTCCTTCTTGATTTCAGAAAATACTTTGATTCCTCTAAAAGAACTGATTACTAGCTGGAAAAAGGTGTGTTTTTATTATTGCGCTGAAGTCAAGGGGGTTATGTTTTGTAAGTGAACCTACGAAAATCACTTACATATATAACAGAGAGCTGATGAGCAATGTATTTATGACTTCCGAGGTGGTTGATGTCCTCTTCAAGCTGTTGACTTAGCACCAGGAGCTGATTCAGTTTGGCAATGTGAGAAAAATAATCTACAATTTGAAAAATAAGTTATCTTATACACGAAATGGATATGTTGCCCAATGCTGTAACACAGACCATCCATAAGAGGCTTCTCCAACATTTCAACAGGGCTGCCTTGAATCAAAAATACCTCCACACGTGGAAACATTTCTGATAGGCCAATCAAATCCAAGTAATCCTATGGAAACAATGCACACTCAAATGTATCCATAAGAGCATAGACAATTTAAAGATGGAATACCTCCAGCTGTGGCATAGGCTTTGGTAGATGTTCAAGGCACTGCAGCATCTGATCAAGAATATCTGATCCTGCAAAAGTACAAACCAAAACATTAAATAAACATCCAATAACAAAGCGGTTATTTGGGATACCATAAGATTATTACCTTGAAGCTGAAAAGTGTCTGATTCCTCAGGACTACAACCGCTCTCCAACTGATCCTGGAACTGAGAAGTAATAACATTAGGTCATGTATTAGAACATATGATGTGTGTATCGTTCATGGAGCAAGGAGGGATCACTACTGCACCTGCTGAGTCTGCGCCCTGATCAGGAGGTCCAGCTGCCCGCACAGGCACAGCATCTCCAACCCAACCTGCTCCGGGCTAAGCTGGATGGGCATCAGAGGACGCTTCACCTGTAGCTCCACTGGACAGTCCGCACACATGCAATAAAGTGGCTTTGTGCAAGGATTGGTCATACCGATGAAGACATGACAATGAATACACTTACCTCTAAACGCCCCATTGTATACACAAGGACTGTATAGCGGATCTGTCACGCTTACTGCCATAGCTGGCAAAGTTTGTAAATGAATTTCATTAATAAATGTTCTATAGTTAAGGCTAACAAATAGCCATTAGCGCATGTTATTTTGTCCATGGCATCTTGCGCATGCTACACTGTAACCGTTTCTAGCTCCTGGTGCGCTTGTAAAAATGGTTCAAACTATGCATAGCATAAAATAAGTATAAATGGAGCATGCATCCTTGAGAGCGCTGAATCTGTTGCAAAATCATTCAACGCAGACGCCCTGGCTGCTCACAGACGCTCGGTGGACGCCCCGCTCCGACTGAACTGATGATGTCATTGTTTCAGAGCAGCGGATCGCGTCATCGGTAGGTGTGGATCTGTCATGGATCTGCACGGTCTGGATCAGCCTGAATCACAATGTGTGCTGCATACAGTGGGCATTACACGTATATAGTGTTTGTCATAATATTATGATACACATACAAATAATATCTGTTTACAGTGTTTTATCATAAGATCATCAGTTTATAGATGATATATTATTTGTGACAATAGTTTCTTCAGGTCTATTCAACTCGCGGCTGATAAGTTCAGTGTCATCCAGCCAACTTCAGCCTGCCAAATTCGCATGTTCAACCTAATTGTGAAGCCCAGGATCTCTGGAATCGTAGAATATAGGTCATACCTATTAGTTCACAATAGCTCGAAAAACATACCTCATTTTGAAGCTCAGAACTGCCCAAATCCAGTCAATGTGTGTCGTTGGCCCCTGGACAATTTTTCTGAACATAAGTGACCCCGTTACTAAAAGGTTTGGACACTTCTGCTTTTTTATTTACATAAATATGTACATCAGGTTCATTGTATTTGTAGTTAAGAAAAAAAAAGTCACTTTAAACTAAATTAAAGGTTTATGCTGACCTCTTTTCTGGGGACACATATTGTATGGTTGTCTATGTAATTTGGAATAAAAAATATTACACGACCTTGTTAGACTTGATTAAAATGTTGAAGACTTTTAAATGAACTTATATTGAAGTGTATGATAATTAAAACAAAGTGGATTTACATTTGTTCCGCTCGCCCTGGTCAATGATCTTCCAATACTGCGGTTCAGCTGCATCCAGAACAAACCAATGGCAGGTTTTATTTATTCATTTTTGTAAAAGATGTTTCGATAAGGAAATCAAAAAACTTAATATACAATATTTTCTGGGACACATAAACCTAAAATTAAAAGAGACATGTGGAAATACTTTTAAATAGGGTAGTGTGCATATACAAATATATCCAGGTCTTGGTTTGCTTAAAAAAAAAAACCAAAAAAAACACAATTACATGTTTTTTATCAAAATTTTCTACGCTCAGATTTACAACAATGTACATATTTCGTAAACAACCTCAATTCAGCCATTTGTTTACAGTGCATCTGGGGTGAAAAATATCTTGCATCATATGCTTATCCTCTGAGACTTTAACTTAAAAAAAAGAAAAGAAAAACCATAACATATAACAAGACACTATTTTATAAGTCTCCCATTCCATTGTAGAAACTGTAACTCTGAGAAAATACAAACTGGTTTTTGTCACAATACTTGGATTAGACATCGTTCAAACTTGCAAGGCGATCTACCGCGTGCCCGGGGGTAAGGTGAGCGTGGCCATCAGCTCATGAACAGAAGCAAATATTGTGCACTCCCCTAAAGAGAAAGTCAACTCATAAGTGTGTTCGTTTTATTACATGAGCCAACTGATGAAGACTTACCTTGTCTGGCAGAATGCATCTCGTTGAACCTCTTCAGAATATTTGAGACCATGAGAGCTGCAGCTCCAGAGGAACTGTGCTGTCTGGGGATGTCTGCCTGCTGAGTGAGACCAGTGGCCATGTCATACACTATGGGCACAATGATGCTCACTGGGTCCTGGGGCACCGGGATACGTTGGGTCAGTTGCAACTGTGGTGAAAGAGAAAACCATTGTTGTAATCAGCACAACATACATAAATCCTTGAAGTTTCATATACTCACAAAGAAAAGCATTTTCGACTTAAGAACCACAGCAATGGTTCCTGGGGGAGCAATGGGGGGAGCACTTGGTGGAATGGTGAGACAAAATTGGACGTTCCATTTTAACTGTCCTGCTTGGTCTGGGAACTTCATGAATGGAAAAAGAAACAATATTTAACTTTTAAATAGGTACATCGTTTAAATCAGGCAAAATTGTTAGAAGAGTGTATATATATCTATACCAGTTCAAGCTTCATTATTCGTACGCAGTCTCTTAGGATGTGTGTAGGAGCGCCGAGAAGCTTTGTGAAGGCATTCAAGGTATTGTATTTAAATGGAGGCCCAGCAACCTGAAATTTTGAAAAGGTTCTTAGTATATGTTGCTAGGTTCATGACCTGTTCTATTCAAATAGCAACACAGAAACCATTTGCAAGTACACGTGGAGCCAGACACTAACCCTGGTTTCAAAGAACTTCTCCAAAACCTGCAGTTCTTCTTGGGACCACGGGCCGGCACTTTCAGGAGTGACTTTCAATTGTAACGTCTGGTAATTCTTAGGATTTAGAGCCACACGACATTTCAGCACATCCGTCTTGAACATGATGACTCCAGGCTCATTGGAATTTACAATGGTCAACTAGAAAATATCGATTACAGCATTGAGCAAAAGAATAAATAAAATAACAAATATTCTACTTCTGCCTAGACCTACATTGGGTTCTTGCTGAATTATTCTCTGGAGGTGTCGTCTCATAATGACTGAACCCAGGAAACGTTCCAGAGGGGAACAGAGGTAGCTTCCCGCCAGGCCGGGCACAAGGCATGGTGTGGGCGATGGAAGGAGGAGCACATGTAGGGCATTGTGGGTAAGGATAGTGGGAATGGAAGCAGCCCAGGGGCGTTGAGGTAATGTGCGTGGAGGAGGCATACTTGAAGGCATTATTTGGGATACTAGAGCAAAGAAAAATGCATTAATAAGAAAAAAACGATAATTTTATTCTTTCATAGATCCACTATGATGATATACCAGCACGAGGAGAATGAGGGTCTGGAATCGGCGAGTGCAGTGATGGATTACCAGGAGACATTCCAGGAATTCGAGCACCAGGAGATGGTCCTGAGACCTGTGGTGAGCCGGGCCACTGCCTACTGTGGCTAGGAGACACCATTGGATATGGTGAGCTGGGATCTATAGTACCTACAAAACAAACACAACTACTTAGCTTAAAATGACACTCAAAGAGTTGTGAGTCATTAACCACTGTGTGCCCACTTTCTGATCTCACTATTTGCTTGATCATTTTGAAAATGCCCTTTTACTGCAATTACTCCGAAGCGCACAGCAGAATAAACACCAGACTCCGGTTTTAGACGTCCTTTCTTACCGTGGGGACTGGCAAAGCTGGTCTGGCCCATGGCTATGCCAAGAGAGGATGGAGAGGGGGTAGGCCCGAAAGGAGAGGGTGCCCTAAGAGCTCCACTAGGGGAGCCAGAGGTATGGATGTTCCCTGCGCGCACACACACACACACACACATACACCAAAGGACTAATCAGGACTCATTTTCTATACACTCGTGCAGAGTATCACACAGACGGATAAACATGCTGAAGTGGAAAGGAAAGACAGACATGTCATGGCTGGAAGAAAAAGGAAAAAGGAAAAATTGAGTAACGGACGGCAGTAAAATAAAAATGGGCACACATGGTTGCTTTTTTTAGAAAAATTATAATGAAAAAAAAATGTGGGATTAAAAATATATGTTGCAAAAAAATTATAATTAGAAAATTTCTGGACAAGAGAGATATTCATACCTGGGGACTGTGTAGGCATCATGGATGGAGAAGGAGTGACGTTGGAATGGTAATTTGGGGGCGGTGATGTGAGGGAAGGATAAACACCTCCCGGTCCAGGCCTCATAGTCTGTGGTTGTGGCTGAAATTGTGTTATTAAACTATCCATGACATCTGGGACTGGAGAGGGAGGGTTATCATCCTCATTGACTGAACGCCGGCGGGCGTCTTGGTTGCTGTCCACAAACATGTTCAAAAATGTCTAGGGAGAAAAGAATAATATTTTAAGTTTTCTTTTAAATATAATGTAACGTATGACAGAGCAAAAGGATCATACGCATATTTAAATGTATGAGAAATGTTGACAAATTAACAGAATAAAGTTCAAATTAAAAGAGAAATAAAGTCAAAGCAAAAAAAAAAGACATGACTCTTTTACTGATAGTACTGGTAAGTAGTTTTCTGTTGACATTAAAGTCATAGTCAAACTAAAAGTTAAATGTAATATTTCCAGAGTTCGTAGAACCTCTAAAAAGATTTATGATTACACTATTCTCTCAATCTAATAGTGTTGTTATTTTTAACTTTATATGTGAAAGATTGAATGCATTCCTTAACTGGGTCTGCGCACGTACATGCCCTGTTCCAAACGCTGGTGAAGGAGCTGGGGGAAATATTCATATAAATTTGCTCAATTCATTAAAAAACAAGGTTAACCTCGTTCTACGAGGTCCTGCAGGCTAGTCTGTGGGTCAAAGTCTGCTCTCCTTCACCGGTGGCTTGGACACGATAGAGCACAAACACACGCATACTGTTCATAACAAATAACACCAACAAATAAATTGAGTGATCAGTTTAAGAGTATGTGGAAGCATTAAACCATTAATGATTAACAGATAAATCTCACTGTTGATTTAGCTGCTTTGAACGAATGAGTGCTCCATTGTATCCATTATGCCTTTTTATCTTACAATTTATTCTCATATTAGATTACTCTCGTCAAATATTATTAATCTCATATTATGACTCCCTGATTTCGACTTTATTCTCAAACTTTAATCTCATAGCCTGTGAAAAAAAAGTGAGCCCTATGCTCTGTTGCAGTAAAGCACTTT